CCAAGTGCTGGCTAATGGCCCTTGAATTTTCTAAGTTCAAGCCCCCAAAATCTTGAGGCGCCGCTCTCGACGGGGCTCTCCTCCTGCGTCCTCTGACCCTCCGTGGCCTTTCCTCTCCCAGTGCAACGCCCATCCCTGCTTCCCGCGCGTCCGCTGCATCAACACTAGCCCCGGCTTCCGCTGCGAGGCTTGCCCGCCCGGGTTCAGCGGCCCCGCCCACGAGGGCGTGGGGCTGGCCTTCGCCAAAGCCAACAAGCAGGTGAGGGCCGTGGAGGGGTGGGCTTCATCAGGGAAATGGTCCGCTAGCCTTGCGGCTATTTTCCTGCCTGGCTTCAGAGGGAAGGGGTGGAGCCCGGCGCCCGGGGGCCCGGGGGATGGATAGAGGAAGGGTCCTCATCAAGATGGTGGAGGTTGGGGGAGGAATGTAGGTAGGGGAGAGGTAGGGTGCAGAGGAGACGTGAACCGGGTGGGAGGTATGCGGGTTTTCTGCGCAGGGGCGGTGACCTCTGCGCTCCCTGCCATCCAGGTTTGCACGGACATTAACGAGTGTGAGACCGGACAGCATAACTGCGTCCCCAACTCCGTGTGCGTCAATACCCGGGTAAGGCACGGTAGGAGCGGGGAAGGATCGAGACACTGGGGGAGGGTGAGAAGTGGCAGGCAGCCCGAGCTCACTGCCCGCGGCCCGGGTCCAGGGCTCCTTCCAGTGCGGCCCTTGCCAGCCCGGCTTCGTGGGCGATCAGGCATCCGGCTGCCATCGGCGCTCACAGCGCTTCTGCCCCGACGGCACGCCCAGCCCGTGCCACGAGAAGGCCGACTGCATCCTGGAACGCGATGGCTCGAGGTCGTGCGTGGTGAGTGCGGGCGAGCAGAAACGACCTTGGCATGGGGTACGAGGGGTGGGGTGGGTGGCGAACACGCCGGGGCACCTACTCACCACCCCACCCGCAGTGCGCCGTTGGCTGGGCCGGCAACGGGCTCGTCTGCGGCCGAGACACGGATTTGGACGGCTTCCCCGACGAGAAGCTGCGCTGCCCGGAACGCCAGTGCCGCAAGGTGGGCGGGGTCTGAAGGGCCAGCACAGCGCGGTGGTGGGCGGGGCTCCCTAGCCACGCTCCTCACGCCGGCCGTGCCCTCCCCAGGACAACTGCGTGACGGTGCCCAACTCAGGGCAAGAGGACGTGGATCGCGACGGCATCGGAGACGCCTGCGACCCGGATGCCGACGGGGACGGGGTCCTCAACGAGCAGGTGGGGCCAAACGTCGGGGCCTAGGTTAGGCAAGGTGGGGCTGTGGCTTGGGTGAGGGAAGTGGCCTCAGAGGATGTGGACT